TTCTTTTTTTCACTTCATCAAAATGGAACTCATTGATAGCAACGTACATTTTTCTACATTAAATAATTATCTTATTTCTTATAACTTTCTACTTTAATATATAACGTTCTTATAATTTTGTATCAACTAAAACTTGTGTTGATTTAATGTTATGATTATTCAAACCGAAAAAAGTAGAAAAGATTCGATCTATAATAATAATAATAATAATAATAACTTTTTACTTCAAAATCTAATACAAAACAATATAATGATTTCTTCTGTGATTAACCAATGTTCAAGAAGTCTAATAAAATAAGGTTTCTTTTTATATATATATATATATATATATATATATATATATATATATATATATATATATATATATTAAAGTTATGAAGAAAAGTAACAGTAAATATGGAGCATATTTGTTTCTTTTGGTCCCTTTAGTTGCATTCATGTAGGTCCCTATGTTTTTCTTTATTTGGCAGTTCATTAATTTGTTTCTAATTCTTTGTTGCATTGGTTACCCTATTATCATTTTTCTATTCTTCGACATTGGTAAAGATAAATGTATATAATGTTTTTTTAATGGAGTTCATCTTTCGTGTCAAATGTTAATGCATCCCACGTGTATTCTTCCTGATCATTTACTTCGGTTGCACCCAATATCGTATGTGCACGTCGTTTCGAAAACAACATCGAATCCTTCTGGCCCCAGCGTAGCAGGGGTAACCTTTCTAGTTAAATTTAAAATCCTTAAAATCTAGATGATAGAAATAATTTCTATCCCGTGGAATTCTTGAACACCCTCAGTGTTAGTGGCTGTGACATCCCCATTTTCACGGCCAGAAAAAGACCGATTTTGTTTATGCTTTATAAAAATCAGAGTATCTCTTTTAATAAAAATGTTGCGGAATTTGTTCCCAGAAAAACATGATAAATACATTATCAAAACATTTCCGAATAAATGTAGTTTATTCATTTTAAAACATTGGGATGTCATCGTCAATACAGAAACATAAGCATAAACAGAACTTATATTCGTTATCACTAGTGATTTATATCTCCTTAATCTCTCAGTGTAATGTGACTTCATATCAACACCTGTGATATAAATAAACTGAGTGGGTCAGGTTGGGAAACCTGGTGAGTACATAGAGTTTTCAACCCACAATAATAAAGTCATTATGTTTAATCATCAAACAATCAATCAACTCAATTACCCATCCCCATTATCTTATTTACTATTAAGGATCTACCCTAAGAATCAACTATTCCTCGTTTATTCATTCCTAATTATTATCCTAAGGAATATGCACGAAATCCATCGTTGCTAATGACACATCTGTCAAGCACAACTACTAATATTATCACTTAGGCGCAGCTGCCAGAATTGTGACATTCCTTATGAGGCGCATCTGTCGGTATTGTCCTTTAGGCACATCTGCCGGGGTTATGAGGTTCTCTATTAGGCGCTTCTGCCGGTAGAGTCATTTAGGCGCATCTGCCAGGGTTATCCCGTTTATTGAGAGTATCGTTTCAGAGAATCCACTCGCAATACATGTCAATGGGTTTTTATCTCGTTTATCGACAGTATCGTTTCCGAGAATCCACTCGCAATACATGTCAATGGGTTTTTAGAGTACAGCTGGTGAATACACAGTTCAAATAACACCTACAGGTTGCGAGCCTGCTAGTGTTCCACTTGAGTGCCTAGACTAGTCCGTGGTTATCATCCATACTCTGCTAGATGACGAGGCCAACACTTGGGTAAAAGGTTTCTCTCGTGGTTCACCTCTCACCCTTATCTCATGGTCTATATCACCTCTCATCATTTTATTTTATTTTTTGTCACACAGCAACTATTTCATCTACCCATGTTTTACCCAACACATTTTGTAGATATAAAATACATATACAGTTTAAATCATTTAAAACATGTATAAAAATCTTTCACCCAGCATAGACGGCAAGTATACAGAGAATATGCACACATAGCATGTAATTTATATTAAATACTTCATATCTATGTGTAAGATGAAAGTAACTATGCACTCACCTGTTAAGGTGGTGATTCCGAACTCGGACAGTGCTTCGTTACTCTTAAAACAATTTCCTTCGACAGAACTTACAAGGGGGTTTTAGCTAGGAGTCGGGCTCTGCAGGGGCATAACTTCGTCGCTGAATCTTTCTAGGAAAAATTCGTGCAGCGCTTCAGAGCTCACCTTACTATACTAAAACTATAAAAAGAGAAGTCGAATCACGAGGGACCGAAATGCTCGGGGGATAAGAAGAGAAAGACTCTTGAATCAAGAGAATGGTGCAAGAAATATGAGAGCCCAATGCTCTTATTTATAGTAATTGGATTTACAAAAACTACCCTCCATAATTACTTAATGACCTTATAGTTATATAAACGACTAAACACCCCTTCATAATACTATTTTAAATAGATTTAACGATATTTGTACTAAACTAATGTCGAAAGTACTCAACACTAGTCTTATAATGACCGCATCGTCGATACCTTTCTAATGATATATACATTTGTATATATATGTATACGTATATATGATTTATACTTTATTTTAATACGTAAATATGCTATTATAATTTATAATTTGTTCATACGAACTCCGTTTTTGACGCTCTTTATATCCAAGCGTAGGTGGAGACGTACTCTACAACTTTCATTTAGACTCCGTCGGCTAATTTTGACTTTATTTTTAAAGTTATATTTTTAACAGGCCGGGACATGAAAAGTCCGTTAAAAATTCATAACTTCTTCATCCGAAGTCCGTTTTCGTCTGTCTTTTTTCCGTTGCGCTACTATTAATGAGATCTTCAATTCTCATTTAGGTTGCGTTGGCCAAAAATCGATCGATCTAAAATTCGAATTTCGAGCTGTGCACTGCTATGTCAAATCTTAGAAAAATCATAACTTCCTCATACGAAGTCAGATTTTGACGTTCTTTTTTTGTATGTTATCGGTTTAACGTATACTACAACTTTTGTTTAGATCACTAAGGCTAAAAAGTCTTCTATCATAAATTCATTATTTACGTCTCCCGGTGTCGTGCCGGTTTTGCCGTAAAACTTCGACGGGCCATAACTTCTTCGTTATAACTCATATTTCAGCGTTCTTTATATGTACGGAACCCTTGAAACATATACTATGACTTGGTTAAGATTATTCATTTTAAATAATCTTCTATTAAAAAGTCATTTTTGACGTTTATCGTCTCTAAATTGACTAGCCCGAATCTGCGGGCGTTACAGTGGCTTACCTCCTCATTACCTACGACTGAAAGTTGGATGCCTAATAATACTGTTACAAAATCTCGACCCATTAAATGAATTGTGTAATGATACTCGATTGATATGTAAAAGTTTTCAGCACAATATCATTGATGATGAAATTGTTGTTGGTCAACATGCTGGAAAGATTGTATTTTTGTCAACGATTCCTCTATGTCCGTCTTAAGATGACATGTTCCCGTTCAAGCTGATGAAAAAACAATTTCAATCTGATTATGTTTCGCGATGACAATCAATAAAGCTCAAGGACAAACAATTCTAAATGTAGGAATTTATTTTTCAGAATCAGTCTTCTCGCATGACTAACTTTATGTGGCATCATCTAGAGAGATATCACGTGACAATACTAAAGTATTACTGATCCCTGATGAAGAATTAAACGACAGTGCAGTCTATACATCAAATGTGGTGTATATAAAAGTTTTGTACAATTAATAATGCACAATCAATAAAGTGTTCATGTATATTTGTAAAGAATTCCAACTTTTCATTTTTAGTTCTAATTGATTTTGTTTCTGCTAGCGTAGTCTTCATGATAGTTGTTTAGATGCAATAAACTATTCGTCTAAAAGAAGTAATTTCCTCTAGAAACTAAATTTTGGATAAAATATTCATACCCGACAAATGTGGTGTATAAAGAAGTATTGCACGATTAATAATGTATAATTAGTCATGTATTATTACACATTTTCATATTTTGTGTATTCTTATATGATTCTATTATTTTTGTTTTAACGACTTAAACATTTCATTTGTGCCGTCTTGATCGGTTTCTTTTTATCAGTTATTTGATGTATTATGTAACAAAAAACACCATAGTTTGATTATATTGTCTTCGATATGTACTTTCTTTTGGAACATAACATTTTTGTAAAGGAAACATATCATCGAAAGAACTTACGCGCCCCGCCGCTTTGCGTGGGTACACAGCTAGTATATATATATATATATATATATATATATATATATATATATATATATGTTTTTCATATTTTTATATTTCCGTATCTCTGTCGTATTCGTATCTTGGATTTTTGAGTTTTGCCATTTCTCATTTCCGTTTCCGTACCCGTTTCCCGTTGCCGTATTTGTTTCCGTGCAACTTAGCTTGAAACAAAGCATGTAACAATATTGGTATCAACTCTTTTGTGAAAATATTTTATTTTTTTCAACTTTTCAATTGATTACATTAATTGTTAACAAGAATCTTGTGTAAAAAAGTGGCAGCAACATGAAAGTGGAAACAACGATTGTAAGGTCACAATGTATGATAACTTCATTAAAAAGTACATAAATGGGGAATTAGGAGCCTGTATATACACACGTGATTGGATTCAAGAGTCAGGGGCAATTTGGTCAATTCTTTTCTGTTTTTATATTTAAGGCCATCCAAGTGCTCAATTTTCTAAATCATTACTTTATTCAAAAAAGTTAGTTGGTGTTTGATTCAAGTATGTTTGGTTTAGGACAATTAAAATAAAAAAAAAATTGGAATGATTCTCAAAAGTATATGTAGTACCAAAACACAATTAAGCAATTACTAAAGAAAGCTAATATACACAACATTTTGCAAATTTTTAACTTAGAAAGTTAGAGAAAAACCTGAGTGCAGTTGACTATTTGACAACAGATCTTCTCTAGTTTTTTGGCAATCTCAAAAGCTGAAAAAACATATGCATTCTCCACCATACCGTATTTCTTCATAGCCTACACAACCAAAAGGAAGAGTAAGTATCATACAATATGGCACAACCAAAATTTTGTATCACTGTTTAAATATTACCTATAAATTATAGTTCCGAAAAATGAGATGGATTTCCACTTTTGCCCCTGCACATTGACATAAGTACGAAATACATAGCACATACTGATTTTCTTCTTCTTTACATTTTTACTTGTAACTTTTTGCATCATGTGATGTAAAGAAAACCAAAAATTACATTTTCATACATTGATAAGTTTCCATCAAAGTGTCAGATGATCAATTCTTAACATGTTCTTTTATTTTATGAGTTGATCTCTCAAGTAAAGTTCAATGCATTACTAAAATAAATATTCATAAGCCAAAAAATTCAAGCAATGTACAAAGGATATCATATTATCAAAACAAAGCACATTCTATTATCAGTTTATCACCTCCAATCTACACAAGAAATCACCAAACTTTGTTCTATAAGAATGCATAAAAACAAGTACAAAATCTTACTTCATGAGGCAAGATTCCATTTTTTAAACCTGTTGACAAGCGACTCGATAGATTTTTGTATCCTGAAGCTTTCCATTTGTTCTACAGCTTGTGATGCTTGATGCAAGCTTTCAATCCCACGACCCAAACTAGCAATTGAAGGAGCTGAAGGAAGAGATTCAACAGCACATTCAATTCCATCACCATATACAAGCAAACTTGAACATGTAGCCACACTGCATCCAAATGTAGCCCATGGAAGCACACCAATAGGGCGAACTCGTCTTTTTCTCATAATCTCATAGAAAGCTGTTCTCATTGCTGAAAGACTTGTCTTTTCAGCAGATGCTATCACACTGTGAACCACAGTTCTTATCTTCTCAGCAGAAGCAGCTGCTTTCATGGAAGATGTAGTGTTTACTCCAGAATTGAAGAAACTAGGAGCAATAACTTTTGAAGGACCAAGAATCTTGCTGATTGAAATGGAAACAAGTTTTTGGGTCTGTGTCATTATGAGTTTTAGAGATGCGGGAACTTTAAAGGTGACAACTTTTATAAAAGTTGATGCTGGGACAACTTTAGAAAGAGATGAAGCTCCTAACACTGCTGTTGCCCCTGCTCCCACTGCTACTACTGGTTTGTTTGTTAATCTTCTTTTTTTGTCATGATTTGTTGTTTCTCCATCTTTTGTTGACTCTGCAACAAGCTCTTCAATGGTGTCCTCGATTTCTTGAGGGACTTCTGTGTTCCAATGTTTTCTTAAACCGGATAATGTGCTGGCATCCAAGATTGCCACTATGGAGTTGAAATTCTTTGTTTGACTACGAAGTGCATTTGCAAGAAGAGCGTGTGATTTTTCTTCATCTGGGAGAGTGGAAAAATCTGTTTTGGGTGTTTGATGGTTTCCTGTTTTGTTTATTGGCATTCTACCAGCATTGTTTAGAGCAATTCTTAAGCCCTCAACTGCAATGCGAAATGTGTATACTTCTGAGAGGAGTTTGGTGTCAATGCCCTCACCTTTGCTTACATCATGAAGCATCTTTTGTGCATAAGCTAGAGAGCGTCCAATTGAGGGTATTTCAAGAAATATGTTGTGTAAATCTTGAAGTAAGGGGTATACAGAACGAGCATACTGTGGGGCCTCGTAATCGTCCTTTGGCTGAATGTTTATAGGACTTGTATTTTGATTAGGGTTTAATTGAAGTAAATGAGAGGATAATAACTTCAATGTTTGGGAACGAATGTGATCATCTGAAATGAGATATTTACTTGAACTTGATGGAATGATGGAGCCCATTCTATGTGGCATCAAATTACTAGGCTGTAAACCAAAACCTTGAAAATTATTACCTGATTCGACTTCACTTGAGGAATTGTTGTTATCCCTTTCCAATTGCACAAAAGGAGACTCAAGCAGCAGAAATGAAGAACCGACTTCTTCAGCTATTCTCTTTGCAGTTGAAAAATGGCCATTGAAGCCAACACCAAAGATCTCCTTCAAGACCAAATTCCCAGCCACATTTTCATATGTATCTTTACCAATCTTATGAAGAAAACACCTCTTAAGTACTTCCAATGAAGAAGTGGGAATCGGATGTTCATTATCACCATCACTTAACAACTGAACATCCTCAAAGTCAATCTCGTTCACTTGAGCCACAACTGCTCCTGGCTTAACACATCTAACAAGGCGTTCAACATCTATGGCTGATCTTTCAGATAGATTCTGAACACAGAGTATATATATCACTGCCTCTGATTCTGGTTCCCGAATCGCAAACACAAACCGTTTTGTCTCATCGGGTAACTTCAATCCCTTCACTAACCGATCAGATAACCGCAAATCATCGTTTCTGAACGTTGCAAACGGCCATAAACTTTGAACGTAATACAAAACGGCCGTGGCCATCATCCGACATAAGAGATATATAAAATCATGCCCTTCGATTTCGATTAGCCTGTTTTTTCATCACTCCTCTATGCGTTACACAAGTCGAATCAAATTCCACAAAGCCAATCAGTAATTACCGAAAGGGGATTTGAAAAGATCACATAAAGAGCGCATATGAACACAGACAATCATACAAAGAGAGCGTATACGAACAGAAATGCGAAAACATTAACGAATTCACAGAGGAAGTTAGCACCTGATGCGTATCGATCGGGAAACAGAAGTTAGGGTTTATGACTTTTATGAGCGGAAGTAATGTTCATGGAAAAACACCAGAAACAACCATTTTGCTTCATCAAGACAAAGGAAAAAGATAATTACTAAAAAATAACAAATAGGATTATTATGCGTCATGAATATAAATATATTATTTTTATAGTAAATTTCTCAGAATTTGGTTCTTGATAGAAAATTCAAATTCAAATATTTTTATTTTGTGTTAGGTGCATGGTTGTCAAAATCGCGATCCTGATCGTAGGATCGTACGATCCTACGATCTTAAGTATAAAAAACGATCCGGATCGTAAATGGATCGTATTTGGGGTAGGATTGCAGGTAGGATCGTAAGATCGTAAGTAGGATCGTAGGATCGAGATCCGATCCGATCCTACCTTTTCTTGATTTTTTTTTTTTTTTTTTTGCAAATAATTTTTTTTACCACTTTATGTCTTTTACCCTTTACCAATTTACCGTTAATCGTTTTGTGTTGTGACTTATGACTAATATTTTAAAGTTTTTATAACTTTTAAACGAAAAATTGAATGTTTGAAATATTTTTCATGATTAAAAAATTATAAATTAAAATTATATTTTATTTTGTGGGATCTTAGGATCCCGATCCCGATTTTGCAAACTCAAAAACGATCTTACGTAGGATCCCGATTTTGACAACCTTGATTAGGTGGATTACATAAAATATCCAAAGGTTTTTTATTTTTTTGTTCGAATTTAAACTTTTAATTTTTTTTCAAAAACTTCTTTTCTATTTGGCAAATTGTGTGGGTTTTTGTTTTAAGTTTAAACTTAGGTGGTATTGTACTATTGTATGATTTTTGATGATTATGATAGATGATGAAATTGTATTTTATGAAAGTACATGTTACAAATATATTAGGTTAATCACGTGCATGTTAACGCGATGAAATGACTTTGTATAATCCACACACTTACAAGGTTTTTTCGAAGGACTTTGCATATTTCTAGGCTTGTTTAATCTTCCATGTGCCTACGCACGTTTTTTACAAATTTGTTAACTTAACTTTTTTACATATTCATTTTCATGCATGTAGAGTTGTAAAAACGTCTAAAAATCCTCTTCTGTATATTCATTTTCACAAACCAAAAGTGCACTCTTATATATAACAAACCTAATTCTACTGTAAATAATATCTTGCATATTCTACATACACAAATTTTCGTTAGCATCGCACAGGGTGCTACCTCTGGTAATTTAACATATTAGAAATTCATAAAGAAGTTTATGTTTGTAAACTTTAGATAAGAAAAGTTAACTCTAAATAAGATACATCTGTTTTAATCTTGTTCTCAATCAAAAACTTGTTGTAGAAACGATGATTTGTTCATAACAAAAGCCAAAGCCAAAACCAACATTAAGTTCATATATGTTGATAAAACAAAACTGAAAAACGAATTTGAGGAGATTACAAGTATTAATAATGCTCTTGAAGCCAATATTACAAGGAATAAAACACAGCAAAAATTCTCCTAGATTTACACTTGCACACAACCAAAAAAGTGGTGAATTTGAATGTTGGATGAGTGGTCTTTCTCTAAGGTAAAGGTAAAAACATTACACAAATAAAAATTCCCGATTTTTGTATCTTCTTAACATGTTGTTTGTATACAAATGATATTAAAGTTCTATCTAAACTTGAGTATACTTTTTCAACCATATCCACAATCATCATCATCATTGTAAAGTATCCTTTTCTTTTTTCCTTCTTCTTCACCTGGGTCCCACAAAACACTTCAAAGAAGAAACCTGCATGATGTCAAAATAACGAGTCAAAATGTTTTTTCCTTGTATTTTATAACTAACTAATTAATACAAAATCTATATTTTATTCAGAAACTTACTTTGTTGGCAATTCAAGTAGGAAGGAGAGGCCTTCTTTCATCAGCTTCTACATGATGAGTAGCCTGAAAAGTAGAAAGAAACACAAAATGTCTTATTGCCTACAATATAATAAGGATTAAAAAAATATATAAAAAAAAAAAAAAAAATCATTGTACCTCTTCGTTAGCCCCTGCTGCGATATTTACGAAAGCGTCCCTATGATTGCTTTGAACTGGCTCCAACTCCAATACTCCATTTTCATCCTCCTTAACTTTTGCAAGAGGCGAAAAGAACTGGAGAAAAAAAAAGCCAAGGGTAAAAATGACATTACAAGTTATATATGTAATGTAATTATTAGTGGACAAAAACTGTTGAATCCATATACCTGATGCATTGAGATGAAAACAATGGAAATTCCAAGCATAAAATTTATAGTAAGAGTGTGACCAAATAAAGCTGCAGATGCAAAGCCAGTGAAGATTGTAGCAACTGTTGATGAATACTTTTTCAAAATTGTGTCTGCATGTCATAAACAAGAGATATTAAAATATAACTTTAAAAATATAAATTTTAACATGGTTTTAATGATCTTACCAGCATATTTGAAGAAAAAAAGAGGATAAAATTCCTTGAGCTGCATTGTTCACAATTAAAAGCATGGTAGCTTTTGAATGTCCTTGTAAAATATCAAAGCTTTCAGGACCTGAAAAACATAATCCCATGGAAATAAGGGTTTTCTGTGAATGATTAACATAATTAAAAAAAAAAAGTAAAAGGGTAAAATGGTCAAGGGAGTAAGTACCTTTAATAATGACAGTTCCAAGGATGCCTAGGAAGTTGAAAATGGCACCATATCCGTATAAAAACAAATTCTGAAAATTTATAGTAAAAGGGTAAAATGGTCAGAAGAGAAAAAAAGATTGATTCTTGTAGTGTTTTAGTTTTGATGGAATATTAAAAATTTAAAATCACCTGCATGTAGATGCTAGTGTCGTATTGACTCTTGAGTGCATATTCATTGAAGACTGAAGCCATAGATGGAACAGTTACCTTGTATATTGAAGTCATTGAGAGTTAGTTTACTATATTCATTTGATTTAATAAACTCTATTATTGAGAAATAAAATTTATTATAAGAAAAAAAAAAGCAACTTACAAAGATAAATGTATAGACATATGCACCCATTGCAACTGGAAGACCCATTGCAGTAGAGCCCTCAGGTAAAGAACGCATTTGATTTATGCTGATTCCAATAAGCAACAAAGCAAGAGCCTCCCACTGAAACAAATATAAAAACCAAATGGGATATACATTTTTAAATTAAATAAGGTTAAATGTCATATTTATGCAACAACATTTTATATTTTTTATGCAACAAACTTGTTTTTAGATGAAAAGACCAAAATATGCAACCAAATTTTATTCCATAAATGTGTATTTATGCAACATTGTTTCATATTTTTTACCAGTTTATGATCAAAAAACACAAAGAACAAATAATTTTGGAACCTTATAACAAACCTGAATTATTGAAAATTTACGCTTCATCACCATTTTTAAGAGAACTGCAATTACCAAGACCTGTAAATTTCAGATGATATTAGGGTTCAACAAAAAATATGTCTTTCATTTTCTGAATAAGATATTAAGAACAATGAGACATATAAATTACCTTCAAATTGCTTAGCATCTTTACAGTTGCAGGATTAAAATAAAGCTGCACAAAATTTATCAAGGTCAGATAACACTATAACTTAATTAAAATCATGAGATTCTTAGAAAAGATTGTGTCGTTCGATATAAATTTTATAAATAAAAATATTTACACCATGCAAATCAATTGTAAATATTTACACCACAAGAAATTATAAAATATAAATCATAAATACCTGCATGGTGAACTTTAGGTAGTTATTAATAGCATAGAGGAATGCTGGAACAGCAAGAAGCACATTGTTGCGAGCTGCCTGCAGAAAAACCATGGCAGACATGAAGATATGAGCTTTGTTGCTGCTTTATCAAAAATGAACTTATTCTATAGGTTATAAGATATAGTATATATTTTTAACTTTTGAGCAATCTATAGCTAGCATAAAGTAGAACTTGGAATCATTAAGGATACAATGAGTACTTTGTGCAGCATATGTTGTTGGAAGAAGCCTAACCATGGCATAATATGTTGACTCAAAACTGAAAATTTGGCAACATTACCTGTACAAAGCTGGATACAGAAAGAAGTGGCTTCTCTCCAATCTTCTGATTTCTAGCCTGAAAAATAACAAAGAATTTAGCAATTTGTAAGGAATACTTTTAGCAGTGAATAAAGTGATACACTAAGTTTAGAACTTAAAAATTAATTAAGATTAACATGCAAATAGATGAAAGATAAGCTTAGGTCACACAAAAGTTCTCCAGAACATAAAGCAGAAGACAGATATAATAAAAATAAGAAGAGCATACCTGAATTAGAAGCATGACAAGTGCAAAGACAACCTTTGCAACTTCTGTCAGAAAGTTAACACTGATGGGGCTAAAATTGAACTTCCCATCAACCTTGGACATGTACACCAAAATCGGCTGTAAAAGATGATGAATTTAGTGAGCTATTGATAACTTATGTAACATGGAAACACTACACAACTAACTATACCTAAATATTATCCAGTCAATGATGCATGGAGTTTAAAGAGTTGTTTATGTTATGTGAAAGATATGTACTCTAAATAAGACATAAATCGAGAGCTCATAAAAGATGCCAAAAGTTTCTCTTAGAAAACTACCATGCATGAACAAAATGCCTACACAACATACAGAAAATGACAAATCTGAGTCCTATAATCTTGGGATATCACTGTGAAAGGAAAGTACTTTGGTCGTTTTTGTTACCATGGTGAAATTGCCTCGGGAATCTATGTTCCACTGTTAGGAATTAGGGAATAATCTAAATAAGATATAAATCCAAAGTTTACAAAAGGTGCCACAAGTTTCTCTTAAAGAAAACTACAGTATATGAACAAAAAACATATGTAATCTCTCTAGCCTTGTGAGGGATATCAGTATATCACTGCTAAAGAAATTACCTGTAAGCCAACTAACATGCAGTCACCAACAACCAAGAGAACATTGAGTGCACTCGATCATAAGCTCGTGAGACTGTCTTTGCGGATGGATTCACCAACTTAGAATGACAGACACTGCATTCTATCATGCCTTGTTTCATCATCCAAAGCCTCCCTCACTCACTTTCTCCTTCCTCCAAATGTCAGGACTAACATGGAAAATCAAAGACCAACACAAATCAGCATTCATCACCCAGCTATAAACAGCATTAATAAATAATCCAGAAGACAAATTCATGATTAGATACAGTAAATCGCATGCCATGTAACTGTTTGAACATCCCAAAACATTTCAATTATCACGGCATGATTAAGAAACTCCAATAACAACTTTCACAAGGTAAATAAAGTCTATATTAAGCCTCAATTGAAATCAGATCTTTGCTTATCAAGATAATCCATTTCATAAAACTATGTCCATAACAAAAACAAATATTAATTGTGCTTCGTCGAGCTCAGATCTTGTCACTTCCATATAAAAATCGAGCTTCTTCCCATGATGAATCAAGTGCAAGTAAACGACAAGATTAAGACTGACCTGAATTATATGATCTGAGAAAACAAGATATTATAGATTAGGCTTAGATCTGATGGTGTCGCCACCGGAATTCAACTGGCAGCGGTTGAATCAATGCAATGAGGTGCGAAATAAACCCTAGAAGATGCGAGATGTTACAGAATTGAGTTCCCGCGATTCTGTTGATGCGAAGAATATGCTGAGAAATGGAATGGAGAGTTTGTTGTACAAATCGAATCGATCTGAATTGAATTATTTTGCTTTAGAATTACACCACCGTGGTTGACGCTTTGCTGTGATCTGTGGAAAGCTCACCGACATTTGCTCATTAAATGATAAAATTTGACGGTACGAGTCAAATCATTGTCTTGCTTCTTATTTACATGGATTTTGGATGTATAATAATAGGACAATTATTTATTTGTAAATTTTCATTTATTTAAAAGAAACAGTAAACTGGGGAATGGTTCCCTGGTACGTTATTATTTTCTTTTTTATTATGATCTAAACTATAAAAAAATTTAGCACTCTATTTTTATAGAACGGCTAACACATACGATTCACTATCATACTTCTAAAAATGCAATATGAGGTTTTGAAGATGAAGGTCGTAGGAATTTGATTGACACAAGTGGCTTTGGAACACCACCTTTAGTTTTTTGACTTTCTGAGGAGGCTCATCTGAAATAGGAGTTTGTTCGGGAGCATTTACACTTGGTTTCTTGATTGCATCGGCCGATGGATCATCCAAGGGCTTGGGAACATTATCGGAGGTCTGAACTGCGAACTTCTGGTTTGCATCGTCAAAAATGGAGTCAACATCACCGCTCAAAATTTTGAAGTCTCTCGGAAATCTGCAGTTGCGCGAAGCCTCTTTCCAAGAAGAAAATTTGTGATGTCGACTATAGATTTTTCCGGATAGAGAGATTGAAGCCTATGAACAAGAGAATCTCAAGAAACATTAGTACTACCCGAGCACCCATTATCCGTGGAGGATATCGGTTCGGTTGTGACATCCGTCGAAGGGTACTTCAGACGAATAGGTAGGAGGGGTAGGTAGTGACCCAGAGTCAGGTCGGACACCGATCTATGATTCCTTTTGAGAGGAACCATCAGTTTTGGATCTCTTTGTAGCCTTAACTTTTGAAGGGGAATGAGGTCCCTTCTTGACTTTCATTTTGATTTTACTACTTGAAGTTTCGGGCTTCTTCTCTTCCGATGGATGAACATTCGAGGGCCGGGGTAGGAATTGGTGGGACAACCATTAAACCTCGAGATGTTGAGATTTGAAAAGTGCATCAGAAGGAAGAGTATATATGTAACTTCCCATTTTCACAACCAAAAATTTTCATTTTTATTAAGGTAAATTCCTATAATTGTAAATTTGTGTTAATCAGAGTAATATAATAGACGCAGAATCCTCAATGTTGCTGATGAGTGTGTGCAGTCACACATTCACCTTCTCACAATCATCGATGGTACTCTGGTACTTGAAAACATAAACAGTTGGGTAAGCACAAAGCTTAGTGAATTCTCCCCAAAATACCCCATATAACAACACATATACAATTTATGCATACTGGTATCTTGCCCTACTGCACACATCAGGACTGCCTCAACCTCGCCAACCACAATATGTCGACATATAAACAAACAAGTAATCAAGTAGGCACATAAGTACATGCAACTACCAATCTACCTGACATACATATCACTACTGCCTACAAGGCCCCTCACAGCACATTGCTCTGCTACCGTATATCTCCAAGGAAGGCATAACCATATGTAACCAGAGGTGAGATAGACACCCGAACTGATGATCTTACTCTAGAGCCACAATCAAACAAGGAACAGGGAAGAAAGCCTAGATTAAGAGTTCTCAGTCTATCTTACGTGACTACATACAACCTCTAGGGCATCCTTCTAGACGATAACTAGCCTACTGGTACTCTAACCAGCATATCACTACTTCTATATCCTATTGATGCGTAATTATTATACCTACTAGTTTTACCAACTATCTTACATATTATTACGACTTAAGGCAGTTGACCTATTCGCAAATAATATAGCACTAACAGTCGGGTGTCGAACACAGGGAACGTGTTTAATTACTAATTTATTTACTAAAAATTAATTTAAGAAAAGCAAAAGTTATATTGGTTTTTATTTGATTTTACAAGTTCATACAAACTTAATCACCTAATAATCAAATTCAATCAATGACTAAAACACTTATGTCTAGTTTGAATCCACTTCACCTCAATGGTTAGCTACTAATTATGGATAATTCACGTTGGTTACCGATATTTGTATTATTAGTAATTTAAGTCCAAATATACTAATGTTTAACTAATTCATGTAGAACTATGTATGGTCACATATAATTTAACACAGAATCAATTATGAATTATGAATGAAGCTATGTAAGATTGATAAACAAACACAATTATAGTCACAATATATGTTCTCCAGCACAGCCAAATTTAATAACTTTAATTACTTATCTAAGATTGGTTCGATCCTAGCTCTAGTAATCTAATGGTCACTAAATTACTAGATGTCAAGTTCATGCAATTTAATAGTCACTAAGTTACACAGAACATGAATTCAAGCAATTTAAGTATCAAATATTACCATGCTAGGTATTAACAATCAAACACAAACATTTAACCAACTAGTAAGATCCATAACTAATAAACCAACCCATGAGTTGAAGCTTCATCTAGATAAACAGAAGCAGCTAGATTCAGCTACTCATGGCTGGTTTCAAACACACAAATTCAATGATTAAAAACATAGTCAATTGTACCAATTTAAAAGTGAAAGTTATGATCTACTTCTTCTTCTTCCTTAGGTGCTAGAACTTGAATTCTCTGGCTTGTTTTTCTTCAGAAATCGTCTTCTAAAACCTCCAAATCTCTAGAGCATCCCTCAAAATTGTAAGTGCCAAGGATATATATAGTTTTATGGAAATTACCCTGCTCACGTCGTGAGCTCAGTTATAATCCGTATCGAACATGGATTCTGGCCTCCGGATGTTTATCTTCTAGAAAGTTATCACTCACGTCGTGAGATATGATTCCTCGCGTCGTGATATCGTTTTTTGGCTGAAAAATTCATTTGTTAAGATCCAATCCTCCTAAGTTCTGATCCTTGTTGCTTTTGTTCCTTATTCCTCAAGATTGCTCATTTTGGCTGCACATTACAGTTAAATCTTATAAGTACCATATATCTTTGCAAATAACCAAAATATTAATAAAAATATATTAAAATATTGCTTAAAAATGTGTATAAATATGGCAATATCACATACCGCACAAGGATATATATATATATATATATATATATATATATATATATATATATATACACATACTAGGTGAATGCCCGCGCATTGCGCAGAAACACCTATATAGTTGAAATCTTTACAAATATATGTTTTTTTTAAATATAACAATAAGGTTGTTGTTAAATTTGATATAATAATTCGTATACTAAATTGATACAATATATTGATTATTTTGAATTATATGATAATATATACATCTATTATAACTGTATAATCTCAACCATTTGAATGACTTCTACCCGCGAGTTACTAATGAATAAAATTAAATATAATATATGGCTTAATGTTATTTATAGTTTTTGTATTGTTAATTAATTTTTTAAAGTTTATTTTTTTAACGTTTTAATTTCTATCATTATAATTATTTAAAACATAAGACATTGTTTTTTGATTTTAAAGATAACAATATAATCATTTATATAGAGTTACTTTTGACTATTGTTATTGTAAGTTATTTTAAGCTACTTATTTGAAAACTTTTAACGATTATACAAATATCTTTAGGAAATATTTTAATTAAATTGATATTATAATTTAGTTTTTGCATTTAACACTACAATTTATCACTTTTAACTATTCACAAAATATTCATTGGGTTTTTTAAGTGGAACTGAAATTTATATTTAAGTTGACACTATAATGTTATATTTAAATTAACAGTTTAAGTATCTTGTCCTAACTGTTCCATAGTTGTAGCTTTAAATTGATAATGGTTTACATACAACAACATATTAAATCTAATAAATTAAGTATAATATTTTAAAAGTTAAAGACATAACTTTATAACTAGAAGTAAAGATATTATTTTAATATTGAAATTTAGTTTATTTATGATTACACTTTAGGTTTGCTATTTATTTAACCTTATTAACCAAATTATAATCATTATTAGAAAGACACTACAATTTATCACTTTTAACTATTTACAAAATATTATTTGGGTTGTTTAAGTTAAACTAAAATTTATATTTAAATTTGTCCTGTAATGTTATATTTAAGTTTATAATTTAAATATTTTATACAAATTGTTCAAAAGTTGTAGCTTTAAAATGATAATGGTTTACATCCAACAATATTTTAAAACTAATAAATTAAGTATAATATGTAAAAAGTTTAAAAAAACATAACTTTATAAGTAAAAGTAAAGATATCTTTTTAATATTGAAATTTAGTTTATATATGATTACACTTTAGGTTTGATATTTATTTAATCTTATTAACCAACTTATAATCATTATTAGAAAGAAATTGAAAAGTCATGGGAGTTTCAAATGAATGTGGTGAAAGGAAAAATGTTTCCTTTATAATATAGTATGATATGATATAATATGATGATATGATATGATATGATATATATATATATATATATATATATATATATATATATATATATGCTTAGGTTATTTTGTTTTTATTAACTATTGTGTGCCAGAATGCACAGATCTGGACCAACGGATGAAATTAATCAATTGACATGATTTGAGGGTGTATGATAGTACAATGGGATAACATGTACCATATAATCACATAAATTTTAGCAAAAGGATATTTTGGACAATTAACTATATTTATAAAAGGAAATTTCCGGATTTTTAGGGATAATAAATTCTCCTAATTTTAAAAATCTTGTTTTTTTTTCTAATTAATTCAATTTTAATTCTACAGTAATTTGTAAACATAACCGATTTTATTCTGTCAGAATATTTTGTTGTTAGAATGAGGTTCTTTCAGAATTTTATTCTATTAGAATATTATTGAAGAATAAAAAAATTCTTGAATCCGAGGTTGAAAAATAACAACATTCTAATATATTTTTATACATCCGAACTTAAATACAAATTCATGCATATTCTTACAAACTAAAAGCCTTATACTTTTTAATATAATTGTACATATTCTAAAAGAATATCAACAAAAATGAATAAAATTCTTAAAAAATAACATCATTCTTAAATTGTGAGTATGATCAAACTTTATTCATTCTTCAAGTTATTCCTATTAGGTCTTTAATGCATTCTTCAAC